AGAGCTCATTAACCTGTTTAACTCTAAAAATGTGATTAATATCACTTAAGACTAGTTTGACAAACAACGGTATGATCATAAAATAAACCTGGATCCAATTTGAAACATTCTAACAACAAGTACAGCCGCTGAAGAAAATGTATTATAGTAGTAACTTTTTTTTTTTTTTTTCCCCTTGGGGAAATTTTGTTTCAGTGTCTTGTTTCAAAATGCGGTTCTCACAAACGACAATACAACATAAATTTCACAATAGAACCAATACAATTTAACATCAATTAATCAAGAAGTGCTAATTACTGAATGAGACCTGCTCATTACAAAAAAAATAAAAAATAAAAAATAAAAAAATCTTTCCTATTTTTCATTTAAGCACTTCACTGCCTGTGTTATAAAAGATTTTTTCCCTCTATTTTTAAGAAACACCGGTATCCTGAATCTTCTACCCGAAGGCAAGAGCTCAAACTCATTATACAGTGGGTGCCTATCATCAGATATAATTTTCATAGCTTTACCAAGACATCTAGTCTGATAAATTTGTTGTAAACCCATCACAGGGATACCAAGTAAATCTACAGATAATCTTTCGACCAGAACATATGGCACAATATTATTAAAAGCAGAAGAAAAATCAGCAAAAATAATTTTCACATGATTTTTAGGACCCTCAAGATGTGAATAAACAATATGTAACAATGTTAAAATAGCATCATCTACTCCCTTATTTGACTGATAAGCAAATTGAAAAGGATCCAGTAAATGCTGTGTTTTTTCCACTATGTACCTTTTAACAAGCCTTTCACAACATTTAAACACAACAGAGGTTAATGCAATTGGTCGATAATCACTAAGCTCTAATGGTTTGTTAATTTTAGGAACAGGTACTATAGTTGAAGTTTTCCATATAATTGGCACTGCATGCTGGTCAAGTGATTTTTGAAACAGCAAAGTAAAAACTGTAGATAATTGCTCAGCACACAATTTTAACACCTGACCGCTGATATTATCTGGGCCAGGGCTCTTATGTATATTACACTTCTGAAACATTTTTCTGACATTGCAGATGTCAGAATCATTGATTCATTTTTCTTTCTTTCTTCTCCATTTCCCTCAAAACGGGAGAAAAAAGATTTTACGTATTTGCTAGTTTAAAATCTCTATCTTTTTCATCATTAATGGTCATATTTATGTTTTCCTTTCCTTTCCTCTTATGTGGAACACTTATCATCTTTCTAATTCCTTCCCAGGCCTGTTTAGAGTTTCTCTGTGACATTTTAGCTTCAAATTTTTTGTTTATATGTGGCCTTATCTACCTTAATTTGCCTTTTAATTTCTTTTTGAATATCCCTTTTAGCTAAAATATCATGATTATAATAAGCTACCTTCTTCTTATTTAATAGTTGTTTTAATTTCTTTGATACCCATGGCTTGTTGTTGGGAAATATTTTATATGTTTTTGTTGGTATAACTGACTCAACACAAAAATTGATATAATCTGAAACCACAATTG